TGTCATTATATTGTATACCTAAAATGTACCAATGATTAGAATGAATAATCGATAATGCAAAATAGGAAGAAAAGGTCCAAATGGGTAGGGGTAGTGGGAGGGGCAGGGTAAAGGAAAGAAGGGAAAGGAAAAATGATGAGAAATGGAAAAAATGGAAATGAAGTCTTTGTAAATAGGGAAGGGTGGAAGGTGTGAAGGGAGGGCTAGGAATAGGGAAAAAAATATTGAATGCCTTTGTTTCTTGTTTTTAGTACGTGTGGTTGTTGTTGTTCTTGGAGGAAATCATAAGCTTCTCATAAGCCTTACACTGCACTCTTGCCATACAGATTTTGCTAGTCTCTGAATATGTCCCCTTTCTGTCTTTGTAATCACTGTTTCCTGCTTCAAGTTGACTTCATTCAGTTCTTTAATGATTTGGCTTAGCTTCATACTTTAGAGCAGATTTCCTTAAGCACTATAGTGAAAATGACCTTGGGCAATCATTCTACCTTATTTGTTGACTATCATTACATTATCATATTACTGTCTGGTTTTTTGTTTTTATTTTTTGGTGTTTTGTTTTTGTTGTTGTAGTTCATCAGAATGTAATCTTCATGAAGTCAAATTTTGGTTGTCTTCTTCACTACAGTTTCAAGTTTAGGCATAAACAATGATAAATATGCATTTAAATTTTTTTATTTTATTAGTACTTGTGCATTGTACATAATTTCTACATTCCTTGTGGGAATTTGCTACATGTACATAATACATCTCAATTCCCTTTTTACTGCATTTTCCTTCCCTCCTTCCCTCATCCACCCATCTCTTTATGCCCGTGTTTTGGGGATTTTTTATTTTGTTTTATACATGTTTCCAGTATACAACCACTATGGAAATCAGTGTGGAGATTCCTCAAAAAAGTGAAACTAGCAATTCCATTTGACCCAGCTATTCACCTTCTAGGTATTTTCCCAAATGAGTTAAAGGCATCATATTACACTGACATAGCCTACCCATGTTTATAGCAGCACAATTCAAAATAAGTGTTTGTTCTTTGACTAAAACAAGATTAAATTTTACAAAGCAAATTAGGATTATATTATTGTACAATTTCATGGTGTATTTTTCTATAAAGTTCTTCACTTTCATATTTGCTTAACTTCTACTTGTTTATCACAGTTCATTTCAGATATTCTCCTAGCAATCCGTAAACATTTATGTTTTCCCTCCTGTTATTAGACTGGGTGGCATTCCTTTCTGTGTCTATAGAGCACTCTAGGCTTTTCTCATCAAAAGCACTTCATTTCTTTTCTTGTGTTATATAAGGCAGGACTTCATATCTTCCTGCTAATCTTTCCTGTACCTGATATGCTGACTCATTCTTTTAATCTACCAAACATCTCACTTCACATTGGAATGGGAATATTTATCCTGAGTCATTGCATGTCAAAAATGTTTAACTTTCTTATTTATTTTTACAGACACAGCTAAGAGTTTGCCTCAACTCTCGGAGGAGACTTTGAACTTGAAATTTTCAGAACTGCAGAAAGTGTTAAGAATTTGGCAACACTAAGAAATGAACTAAATACATTTTGTTTTAAGAGATGTTCATGATTCTTTTGAAGGCCAGGGGTGGAATATTATAGTTCTTATCTAGGTGTTTCCAGAGAGCCTCATGCATTAAGAGACAAGGCTTTGGAAGGTGATTGGACCACAAGTCTTTATAGATAACCTGCTGTTCAGAGGGTTGTCTCAGAAAATTCAGATCACAAATGAGTGGAGGGGGAACTGGAAAGGTATATCTCCCTTTCCAGCTTTTCTCTTTTCCCTCAGCATCCTGGCTACCATGATGGGAGAAGCTATCCTCCATAGTAGGACCTTCCACAGTGTCCTTTCTGCCTTGAAACCAGGTAAGTATGAACTGAAAACATGAACCAAAATAAACCTCTCTTTCTCTATGTTGTGGATGTTGGGTAATGTGTGTCAGTGGTAAGAAAGTGACTAAGACAGATATATGTATCTTAAACTTATTTTAAATTCATCTTTTACTATCACATTCATCCTTATCATCTTTACAATCATTTCTTAAACCAATTACCTAAATTTGCTATCTGTTTCCTCTTTTTCTATGCTCCCTTCCTTCTCTATCAACTGGAACTTTGTCAGCAACACTTCCAGTACACTGATCTTGTCACATTCACTAAAGTTCCTTATCTTTTTAAATTTAATAGTAATTTTTAAAATTTCATCTTGCTCTGTGTCACCATCACTATAAACCTGCAGGACATTGCATTAAGTAAAATGAGCCAAGTACAAAATACAAATGTCACATAATTTCACTCAGATAGGAAATTTTAAAAAGCCAAACCCATAAAATTAGGATAAAAGCAAAGTTATCATGGGCTAGGAGTGTGTCAGAGAGGAGTGGGGAGATGTTAGTCAAAGTACACAAAATTTCTGGTAGAAATGAAGAATAAGTCTGAGAAATATTTTGTACTTCATTGTGATTATAGTTCATAACAATATATTGTGTACTTAAAATTTGCTATAAGAATAGATTTCAAGTATACAAGTGTTCATAATGATACATTTTATTCTTGAAAATGCAATAAGAATAAATTTCAAGTGTTCTTACCAAGTATATGGAGCAATATATTTGTAAATAGCTTGAACTGGCCTTCCACAATGTCTGTATATCATGCTGTACATCATACATATACATAATTTTAGTTTTTCATTAAAAATCAATAAAAATGTGTTATACTGTATATTCAAAATTTACTAAAAAGGTTGAACTTTTTCTTTGTCTCACCACATAGAACAAATGGTGACTATGTGCAATGATGAATCTGTAAATTAACTTGATCATAGAAATCACTTCACAATGTACATTTATATCAAAATATTATATTGTAAATCTTTAATATATATGTATAACTTTATTTATTAATTATCCCTCAAAAAATCTAAATGAAAAAGCTATGTGAATATTTTCAGTTTCCTTTATAGTGCATTTCTGGTCTGTTAAATAACTAAATGATACTGCCATTATTCAAAAAAATTGAATAAGCCAGCCCATATTCAAAATCATTTTTCATAAAGAAACCTAAGACTAGAAGAACAGGGAGAATCATTTGATCATTCAAGGAATAAAAAAAATGAAGTAAATTTTAATATGAAACATTTAGGACACAGGTGGCTATAAAACACCTTTCCCTTGATGAAGGAAGTATTTTAGAAACATGATAACATTTCAGTAGTCCATGAAACCCGATATATAGAAGGCTCAACTATTTTTGTGCAAAACACTGTTAGAATCATGGATTTTAATCAAGCTAGAAAATATAAATAAAAATGTAAGATGATAATCTCACTTGAGACCACTACTATTTCATTAAAGGACTGGGTATCTAATTCCCGTACATCCCTTCCAGATGTTTCAGTAAAGATACAACTTTGTATTATTTGTGAAATCCTATAAAATGATTTCAGTTACTAAGCTTTCTTTGGCTGAATTTAAAGTGACTTGGGGAGCAAAAGGATCTCAGCAAAATTAAGGATCTTAGATTATTTTCAAGTTCAACATAAATAGTTTAAACCTCATCAGAAGTTCATTCCAGGCAGAATTTGATGAAATAATACTGTATTTATTGGGAAAAAATATTTCACATACACAAAAAATATCTCTATTTAGTACATAATATGAAAGTCAAATATAGTTTGCAGATTCAAATTTTTATTTATTCTTTTAATTTGTATTTCTTGAAATAATCTAGTTTCTGCTATTTTTGTTTCTCAACAAACATGGTACAAAAAGTATAGTCTTTCAACCCACAATGTGGGAAAAAATCTTCACCTGCTCTTCCTCAGACAAAGGTCTACTACCTCGAATCTATAAAGAACTTAAAAAGATCAGACCTCCCAAATTTAAAAACCCAATCCAAAAATGGGCATCTGAAATGAACAGACATATCTCACACAAAGAAGTAGAAACAGCAAATAAATACATGAAAAAATGTTCAACATCACTGGTCATTCGAGAGATCCAGATGAAAACAACACTGAGATTCAACCTCACTCCAGAAAGAATGGCTACTATCATGAA